CACGTGACCTCGCTGATGCAACAATATGTACTTAAGCAATATAGGCATTCAAAAGAATGAGATAGTGGGTGGGGCTTCCGTGTTAGGCTTGCAAAATATAAAATAACAAACATTTTGGGAGAACATGAGACCTACTGATCTATCTCGGCTTTTCCATCTGTTAAACTAAACTAAAACTAATAATAAATAAATAATAAAAAAACAACAGAAAACAAAAGAAACAAATCTTAAAGCCAGTCCTTATCATTCACATACTTTCAAGAATTTTCTTAAACTAACCTAAATATACTGCCTCCCCAACATCTGAAGGCAACCTACTTGAAAGGCCAACCATCCTGTTAAAAAAATAAAACTGTCTTAGCTGAAGATGACTTCTACCCTGCCAAAATTTATACTTGTCTCCCCTAGTTTTACTATTCTCACTGTCAAATATGAAAAATGATGATGCATCAACACTATCAATTCCCTTTACAATCTTGAACACTTCAATCAGATCCACCTTAACTCTTCTTTTTTCAAAAGAAAACAAACTGAGAGATTTCAACCTCTCTCGTACAATAACCCCTCCATCCCAAGTACCATTCTAGTAACCCTTCTATGAACCCTTTCCAACAATTCAACATCTTTCCTGAGGTAAAAAGCCCAAGACTGAACACAATATTCCACATGTGGCATAACCAGTGAGCTACAGATTGAAATTATAACCTCTTTAGACTTGTATTCAATATTACTGTAGATACAACCTAAAATCCTATTTGTCCTACCACTAGTAACAGTACACTGTTTGCATAGCTTTAGAGACTGATCAACTATTTTACCAAGATCCCTTTCTTTCATGACACTGTTAAGGTTGTTTCCATCCAAATTATACTTATAATTCAAATTATGATAATCCACATGCATTATCTTGCATTTATTATAACTAAGACCCATTTAAGATTTATTTGCCTAACTCAATAAATGATCTAAACCCTTTTGTAAATCAGCAACATCCTCTTCACAGCTAGCAACACCCAAGATTTTAATATCATCTGCCAGCTTAAGTAACTTATTGACCATTCTTTCATCTATGTAATTAACATAAATAAAAAAGAGTAAGGGTCACAAAACTCAGCCCTGAGGTATTTCATTTGTGACATTAATCCAGTTTGACTGAACTTTGTAACAACCCTCTGCTTTCTTCCATCCAGGAACTCTTCTATTCAATTTGTTGACTCATCTCCTACACCTTTAGAGATGTTTTTATTTTTACAAGCATTTTATGTGGCACCTTGTCAAATGCTT